ATGATTCGATTCCTGTTAGGTAAGGGTCCAACTTCATTCTTTTGAATGTGGATATCCAGCTTTCCTAGCACCATTTGTTGAAAAGATTGTTCTTTCGGCCCTGGCCAGGTAACTCAGTTGGTTAGAGCATTGTCCTGATATGCAAGCCAGGGCACGTACAAGAAACAAACAATGAATGCAAAAATGCGTAAGTGGAACAACAAATCAATGTTTCTCTCTCTCTCTCTCAGGAAAAAAAAAAAAGCCCTGCCCAGTGTGGCTCAGTTGGTTGGAGCATCGTGCTGTGTGCTGAAGAGTCTCGGGTTCAATTTCTGGTCAGGGCACATACCCAGGTCGCAGGTTCAATCCCCAGTTGGGGCACATATGAGAGGCAACAGATTGATGTTTTCCTGTCACATCAGTGTTTCTCTCTCTCTCCCTCTCTCTCTAAAGTCAATAAAAACATATCCATGAGTGAGGATTAAAAAAAGATTGTCCTTTCTTCATTGAACAGTCTTGGCACACTCTTGCTGAAAATTATTCAACCATATATGTGAGAGTTTATTTTTCTGGACTTTCTATTTTTTTTATATATATCTTTATTGATTTCAGGGAGAGGAAGGGAGAGAGAGAGAGAAACATCAATGATGATCCATTGATCGGCTGCCTCCTGCATGCCCCCGACTGGGATCGAGCCCGCAACCCAGGCATGTGCCCTGACCGGGAGTCAAACCCTGATCGGGAGTCAAACCCTGATCGCCTGGATCCTGGGTCGACGCTCAACCGCTGAGCCTGGCTGGCCTGTACTTTCTATTCTATTCTGTTTCATTGGTCTACATGTGTGTCTTTATGCCACTACCATATTGTTTTGATTACGATAGCTTTGTAGTAAGTTTTGAAATCAGGAAGTGTGACTTCTCCAACTTTGTTCTTATTTTTCAAGATTGTTTTGGTTACTCAGATTTCATATGAATTTAAGAATCGATTTTTTCTGTTTCTGTAAAAAGAGAATTGAGATTTTTTTGACATGGGAGTAATATGTAAGATGATTGAGGTTAATTTAAAACCCTGTAGTCCTAGCTCTGGCTAGTGTGGCTCAGTTGGTTGAGTGTGGTCCTGAGCACCAAAAGGTTGCTGGTTCAATCCCCAGTAAGGGGCGTGCAGGAGGCAGCTGATCAGATGTTTCTCTCTTTCTCTCCCTTCCTTTCTCCCTAAAAATCAATTAAAAATCTTTTAAAAAAACAAAAACCCCACAAACCCTGTAGTCCTAAATTTGAGAGATGTCAGTATGAATTCCTAGGGCATTTCACATAAAAATATGTATATATTACCTAACTGTTCCATGAAAAGGTCTACAGTGACTAACCTAGTTGTAATAAGTATCCTGAGCACTCATACTGTGGTCTCTAAATATCATTTTCCACTGACAGGAACCAGTTGAAAAGTCCGATTGCAGATCTTGGACACTACTGGAATTATGTCAAAAGGACCAAAGAACTTGCCTGGCCGGGCGTGGCTCAGCGGTTGAGCACCGACGTGGGATCCAGGAGATTGCGGTTCAATTCCGTCAGGGCACATGCGGGGGTTGTGGGCTCGATTCCCAGTCAGGGGCCGGCAGGAGGCAGCTGATCAATGACTCTCTCATCATTGATGTTTCTCTCTCTCCCTCTCCCTTCCTCTCTCTGAAATCAATAAAGATATATTAAAAAAA